AGCTAAGGAAAGTTTTTCTAACCCCTTTTGGTCTCTCTTTCAGAAAATAGGCCTTTATTTATTATTTCCAGTGAGAGTGTACAATGTTTTCTGAGTTATTTTAGTCTAGGACCACAATAAAGAGGAAACAAATTGGCAGATTTATTCTTAATAAAACCTAATCTTAGATAGGAGAGGGGAAGGGAAGGAAGAGGCAGTGGATTCTATTCAGAACAATGACAAACTTGTCATTTTTTGTTTCTTTTTTAAAAAGCATAAATGACAGAGCAAATCTGATAAAATATGAACAGTTAATTATGGGTGATAATTATTTACCTGTTAATGTACTCTAGTTTTTACATTTTTCCCATTTCTCAAAATATCCTCCAATGAGAGAAAATATATAAGCTCATGACTGAAAGGGCACTGACTAAATTCAGAGACTAGCAAAAGCAGGACATGTGTGTCTAATTGTGTTTATATTTTCCTTGGTTTTAAAAAAAGGCTGTGTTTATGCCATGGCAGGAAGCTCTGAAATAACTACCATGGAAGCTCTCATCAGTACTAAATTGACTCATAAGTATAGTTCCTATTAAGAGTTGCTCTGATCATTCTCATTTCCTTTTGAAGAAATATTTTGAATAAAGATCATTTTAAAAACCTTACTCTTATTCATTAGAATTTTGCATTTCTGAAAGAGGTGACCAGGATCCCCATGTAATTTCAGAATTGGAGTTTCCCATCTAGGAATATGAACAGAGGTCCACTTACCTACTTAGAGCTGTCAGAGAAGCAGGGTTCTCAGAAGCAGAGGTAGGTCGGAGAGATGTGCAGGGAGTCAAATCTTTGGGCCCAGGCCTGACTGAGGCTGCTCAGCTCCCCTGTGCTGCAAAGCTCAGTGTGATGACTGTGGAAGAAGGAGCACCAAAATTTCTCCTACATCCTCTCCATCCTTGTCTCATGATTTGAATTCCTTGATCTTGGTTTTGGATCCCTGAGAGTCAGCTCAATTAGAAAGACTTGTGTGTACACAGCTTATTGCTGATGATTCTAGGGAACATTGGTAGGAGGTGAATCAGGGAGGGCGGAAGCCAATGCAGGTGTGCCATCCAGACAGTTATCACAGCAGGGCAATTGGTCTTAATCCAGCTGGGAAACTCCAGGAGACAGGATAGCACATTCCTTGGGGTCATCACAAATGAGGCATGAAGGAGCTGTGGTAGTCATCTATAACCTCATTGTCCATCACTCTACTCTTTGGCATTTCTGTCTTGCCCTGCACACCATCTGCATTGCTCCCATGGCCAGAAAGTAGTCTACAGAGATGCTGGGATTTTCAGAGAGCAGTGTTCAGTGTGTTGAGGTGACTTCCATGGGAATATGGATGGAAACTATATACTAGAATCTGTATAGTTCTTCCTTGCCCTGACCAGATCTACTTGTGCTCTGTAAAATCCACTTAGATAACTAGTCATTTTTAAGAAGGAAGGAAGGAAGGAAGGAAGGAAGGAAGGAAGGA